CTGCTGTGGCTACTTTACTGTTAAACTTTTATAAATGATTTAAACCTAACATCAGCTATGTGTCTTTGTGTTATAGAGCATCTCTGCCCGCCAAAGGTCCGATACAGCAGCTACAAGTTCACTTCCTTTCACAGTTCATCATACTTTAATGGTCAGACTTTATTCAGTGTCTAATCTTACACTTTTGCTTTAGTTTCAAAAATAACGTCTGTTGCGATGGATTAAAGGTTTTAAAACTGATTATAATTTTTGCTTGAAATACTCAGTTTCAATGTTTAAATTAACTATCATCATTTTTACTGTGTTTAATGGCTTTTATACTATTAAGAGCAGCTTTTATACCAATAGAAGCAGTAATAACTCATAAGGAAACATTTTTAAAATGCAATTGCTGTAGTCATCCTTTGGGGGGCAGTGTTGCTACCTGGATGTTTGAATGAGTGTGTGTGTGTTTATTTCTGGGGATAACATTGTTCCTTTTTTCTTTCACCTGTTACAGCCCGTTGTTGGCTAATTTGAAACACTCAAAATAACAATTTAGTGGGGGTTTTTTGGGAACACGTTTAAAGTTCAGCCTCATGTTTGTGCCTAAGGTTTGAACACTGGAATTGAGATGTGGTCGGCAGTGTTGGAGGGTCTTCCATAACTTTGGCAGATGAGTTATCATGCAGCATTCTTATCATATGAAACAAACCATAACTTAAAACATGAAATCACCTCAACCGCACCCCTCATCAGATACTACTGAACCCTGTTGCAGTATTTAAAGATTAGTTTAGCTGAGAAAGTTCTTGTATTAGATAAGAAGTTGGGAAAAAAACATTGGAAAGATGATAAACTGTAAGTTATGCTGCCTATATAGTAATAAGTTAACATTTATATCTTTTTTTATCTACCATAGAGAGAGAACGATGTGACCTGAGAGTATTATTACAGCCTGTCTGCTAATTAAACTTAGCAGAACTGACGGAAAATATATACGTTCGCATCCATTCATGCAAAAAAAAAAGTGATCAGTAAAGTCTGGGCTTTTTTTGTAGCTTGGATTTTTTTTTTTTTTTTTATGTGCATAAGAAGATTGCAAATTGTTACTTTCCATCCAAAGTAACTAGAATAGCATTTGGGGCAAATCTAGATACATATGATTATTTAAGTACTCCTTTAAAATAATGTTGCATTTAAAAGCAAAATCTGTATTTGACTGTGCAAATGGAATGCTGTAAATGTTAAGGCAGCAGTGAAATATAGATGGTTTAACTGAATTTATGAAGTCATTTAAAAAGTGTAAATGCATATTTACAATGAGAAGCATTTCCATGGATTATATTTATATTCTGAAACTGGGATCCCTATGGACAAAAGCTAAAAATAAACACTAAGATATAACCGTAACATGACGGCTCCAATAATATACCAAGACATGAAAGATCCCCGGATGATGCTGTCCCTGTAATACACAAAATATCCGTCAGATAGATAGAGGAACGCCTAGGGTCCTCATAAAACACAGAAACGTGAAGCCTCCCCCTGTAAAAATATATAAACTTATATCGACTCTCCTATTAACTCAAACCTCAGAGCTTCATCTCACCTTTCAAACATGCAATTTAATTTCTAGAGGAGATTATTTATGTTAAACTAAGCCTGGAGTTATAGATCAAACAAGCTGAGAGCTCATAGTGCTAATAGTGCTTCGCTTCCACTATTAGCTTCTAATGCTCACAAAGATGATTTGCTCAAGATAATCATAAACCCAATAATATCAAGTCAGACTTTACTGAGCTTCAGTGCAGAGTAACGGCTCACACTGAAATAAATGAAAGCCTGTTAGTACTACATCCTCATAGTACCGGCCGGTAACCGTTTTCCAGTTCTATTAAAAAGGGTCCTATTGCATTAAATTATTTCTTCAGACATTCAGATTTTTTTTCCACCACTCATTCTGTGAATATTTTTTTGTTTTTAATAACCATCTTTGAAACCTAATCTGGAAACTGGTACATTTTCCATTATACATTTACTCCTAATTCTCTTTTAATCACATTGATGTTAAAACTTCATGCTAAACTGATAGCCACACCTGCTATGCCATTTCACACTAGAACGATCTGTATGTCTTATTTTGAATACTGTATAAAATGATCAAACTAACCCATGTTGAATAGTAAGATTTAAGTACACCAGGCTGGTCCATTTTCATTTAGCTACTCTAACAGTGCAAAAACTAAGACTGCTCCACTAAAGTACTCTTTAATTATCTTCTGTCGTCTTTACTCAGAAACAAGAAAAGAAACATTTCTTGAATGTTTCTGGCTCTTAAAATTGTCCTACTTTTTTCTAGCTAACCAGGTAGAACTTTATAATCAAGTCCTTCAATACTGCCAACAAGGATCGCACAGCTAAACCTGTCGTTAAATACATATTTTACACTCAATGAAGTAAGGACTCCTACATCCGTTTAGCTTGGACTTCTCCAGGTCATAATCTGGTTCTGCTGCAGTCTTTTCACTTCGTTTGCCCTTCACCATTTGCTGTTCAATGTTTTTAATAGGAGCCAGAATAAGATTGAGCCATGGTAAAGGGCTCATTCAAACGGTGCTGTTGGGGAACGCCTACCATAAGCTTTGATGAGGACTATTATTGCTAATTCAGTTTTATTTTTGGTGTATTTATATAGAGCTGGTTCCCAATAACCAATGTCTGAAGAAAGAAACTGATCAATTTGTTTAAAGAACGTAGTCCATTCAATCCAAAGTCAGTGTCACAGTTATTTTCTGACCACCAGAGGTGGTTCTTTCACCGCAGTTTGAAAATGCAGAACCTGGGGGGGTTAAAGCAAGACAGGAGACAAGCACAATGCCCCCATAAAACCTGGTACCTCATGAACTCAAACAGGAGCTCCAAGACGATATTTCACAACTAACAGCAGCTGAGAGGGTCCCCACCAGAGATGCAGATGTTCTCTGTAGTTACATGTGTTGCATTTGCTGCTCTCTTCATCCACCTCCTGGTTTGTTTCTGTTGAACATCACGCAGAGCGTGCAGCATAAGCCTTAACTGAACATATTGTGTAACCGCATTACAATAATAATAAAGGGAGAAGAATAAAACCGAACAAAAGGAAAGGTGTACTGTAGCTGCTTTGTTTTTTTTTCCAGTCCTTCTGTTGATCATTTCTGGCGGGTTTTATTTCATTTCCTCAACCTTTCTAATCTGATGTCTGAACGCAGCAAGGTGTGGACATGAAGACATCGAGTTTGGAAGACGGCGCATTTCCATAAGGCTGAGAAGTATTCATGTATAGTTAGTGAAGAGTCTCAGACATCTCTTGTCTTTTAGAAATGTTTTTTATTGTATGTGATTTAACAGAAAATACAATGTCAACATGGCAATTTGAAAAGCAGTTTGTGAATAAATTAAGTTTACTGAAAATTATTTTACAAGGAAACTGAAAAACTGGTGTTGTGTATTTTATTTTTTATAACACAAGCATTTCCTGGGTGAAGGTGTTTACTGTATACTAAGATGCTGGGTTTGGTTTACTACTATCTCTACTTTGTTCTCATCTAGGGCTGCAACTAAGTTTTTTTTTTTGGATTAATCGGATAGCCAGAGGTTCCTTAAAGATTATTTTTACAAAATTAAGGCAGGTGAAACTAAAACGTTTCCACTAGAGGAGTTCTGGATAGTACGGAGCCCCTAAAGGGACATGGAGGGGAAAAAAAGAACTTTTGCGAGATCCCGCAATACTTTTGCGAGATCTCGCAAAAGTATTGCAGGATCTCGCAAAAGTTTTGCAGGATCTCACAAAAGTAATTTTTTTTCCCTCCATGTCCCTTTAGGGGCTCCGTAGGATTGCATACTGACCTTGTCTCTCTTCGTTCATGTAATGTCGTGTTTTGGGACTTATCTTGAAATTAGGAACCTCTCCAAATCATCCTCCATGGTTGTAGCTGACACATGGGCGTATTATCCTCCCATAGCAGTACACTGTTGTGTGTCTGTTTTACTTCCGGTTCACGACATGCCAAAATGTTTTGCGAGATCTCGCAAAAGTTAATTTTTTTCCCTCTATGTCCCTTTAGGGGCTCCGTAGGATAGAGCATATTGACAAAGTTTTTTTTATTTTTATTTATTTTTTATCTTAAATACAAACTACTTTTTTGGGTATAATTGCAGCTCAAGGTGGGTCGCTCAGCTAAAGCCACGTTTTAGCTTCTCTACACTTCAGTTAATGATTAATCGATTACTAAATTAGTTGATGATTTTTCAATAATCGATTAATCACAATTAATCCAATTAATTGTTTCTGCCCTTAGTGTCATATGTACTGAAACCATTGTCTGGATGAACATTGTTAACCAAAGTCCTGCTGCCATCTTGTTTCTAAATATTCTTTCTTCCTCAACTGTTCCTAAAGGCCAAGGTGATTCACCGCTATGACTTTGAACATGCTGACTAATGTCTATAGGACCTGAAATGGAGCTACTGGGTTTCTATCATTTCTTTTGGCTTCACTCTCTAGTTTAAGGCTGCATCTGGTTAGATGCCCCCCCGCTAAAATGGGTAGTTGTTAAATGTTTCCTGCAGGATGACGTAATCCATTGGTTTAAAGATGTCACAGTAAACACTTTCCCAGTTTGATGGTAGCATCATCATCATTGCTGATGTCTTTTACGTCTTATTTTTGGTCAGCGGATCAACAGGTTTGTGGGAAATGATAAATCATGACAGTATAGTTATTTATAAAGAAAAGCGAAGATGGCAGGAGTTCATAGAACTTGATAGTTGTACTGAAGTTGTCATGCTCTTAATTTAAAAGTAAGCTCCAGAGAGAAAATGATTGAGAAAAGAAAATGTTAAGTTTTATTATAACAAATGCTTTATACAAAAAACTTTGAGGGAAATGTTATAAGAACAGAAAAAAAACAGTTAATAGACCTGCTACTCTTAACACATGCTTCACAATGTTTTTTTTTTTTTTTTTTTTTATTTTAGACTAGATGTCCAAATCCATAAGGACCAGTATGTTTTTAGTCAAAACATTAAAACACATTGTGTTGGCTCAAACTTGAGTTTTCCACTAAGTTTTATTTAATATGATTGCATTTAAACTAGGGGCATTTATTGAAAACAACAAAAAGAACAAAACAAGGTAGGCTTAATGTGTTTAAAATCAAGGTGCAATTTTTTCTATTCTTCCTTTAGGTAGATTATTAGTTGAGTTGTATCTGTTCAGTTTTTCTCAGCCGGGCTCTCTGAGGAGGCGCTGTTCCCCTCCTGGCTCTCGGAGGGGGAGGAGGGTGAAGCAGGGGTGATCGCTGGGGCAGAACTGACGTTGATGGGGACGATCCGTTCATTCCCGTCACTCTGTGGTTTCTCCCGGGGTGCTTGGATCTGCAGCCGGCCTCCCACCAGCGAGCAGCTGACGGTCTCGGGGTTGACGCCCTCTGGCAGGTCGAACTCCTGCCTGAACTCCTGACACCTGTAGGAGTAGGAACCCTTCCCATCCTCCTGCTTCTTCTCCGTCCTGCCGCTCACCCTCAGCTTCCTTCCAACCTGTTTGACTGACAGCTCCTCCGGGGCGAACTGGGCTGTGTCCAGGCTCAGGGCAAAGGTGTTTCTGTCCTTTCCCAGCTCCTGGAAGGCGATGGGCTTAAAGGCCCCAGTAGAGCTGGAGGTTTGGTCGATCTCCTCAAAGATCTTCTGGTGCAGCCTCTCCATGTACTCCATGCTCTGCCTCATCTCCTGCATGTGCCGGATCATCTCCTGCTCAATTTGGTAGAAGAGTGGTCTGGTCTCGGGCCACAGGCTGCGGATGGGCCAGTGCAGGTCCAGGAAAGGCCTCATGGCGGTTGGGGTCGGCTGGAAGACGCTGGGACACAACATTCTGTAGTCGTTCAGTTGGAAGCTAGATTTCTGATCTCTGTCTGATCTTCTGTCTGAGAGATGCCCTTCCTACCCACTGTTTAAATAAGCTGACCCACCCCCACCCTTATAACACGCCCTCAGCAGCCGCCACCAGAGGAAAGATCGAGAGGCATTCCTCAGAGTGTATGTGTGTGTGAGTGTGTTCAGCTGCTTAATAAAGACCATGAGTGAGTCCTGCTGCAGAAATAGAACAAAGCTGAGACGGATGGCATGTGGCACATGTTTGGATGACCCTAAACGCTGTGAGTCACACCCTCAAAATCAGATCACAACTATCAACCAAAGGCATGCAACACTGCTGCCCGCTGGTTGCTTTTGGTGTTACAGCTTCATTAAGAGCAATTTGAAATATCAAAAAAAGTTATATTGATGGATCCATGAACATTTTTTCAATGTGTTTTATTTAGGTTTTAATGTTTAAAAACACGGAATACCCAACCTTAGTCCTTGGTAGCTTTTTCAGATCCGTCCCTTCTTTGCACATCAAAATGAAAGACTAGTAGAGGTTGGTACAGTACACAAAAATGGTATTTAAGCATTGCAACATTTCATCATATATCCTTTAAAGAAATTATTTGAGTAAAAGTAAAATTGTATTTGGTATAAAAGCTACTCAATCACGGAGTAACTGATCTACAGACTATCCATGATCATAACTACTGATTTAATATTTCTGAGTTATAAAACTGAGAAAATCAATAGTTACAGTTTGTAGAATAAGTTAAGTTATGGTTTACTGTATTTTCACTCAACCTCTAAATGAGACAGCAGACAGAAAAAAAAAAAAAATTAACCAATAAGCCTTGACCACAAAAAAGAACAAAGCGTGTCTTTCAATGGTGCATATTTGTTTAGAACTAACTTATTTTCCTGAAGTGAAGTTACATTTTATTAAGTAGACTGTTAAAGGTAAGCTCTGTCTTGAAGGTTTCTCTCTCCGGTTCAATTTCCTGAAAAGAGATTACTCGGGACAAACTCTTTAGATAACACTTCATAGCTTTTACGTATTAAATAACCAGGAGAGACGACAACAGATTTTGATAGAAATTGTAATCTTAAACATATCAGAGAAGTTGCTTAGAGTTACAGAAGGCTGCTTTTTACCAACTGGGCTCACTTCTCAGGGGGAAGTAGCCACTTTTAACAGTTAAAGAAGCATTTTATACAACCCCAGTCTATCACATCATCATGTCACACATGTTTGCAGATGAGGAGACATCCTTTGCTCCAGCCTTAACAAAATATTACACTTTATTACATCGAGGAACTGGCCTAATTAGATAAAATACTGGGGAAAACATCACTTCTGACATGCAACAGGCAGCTAATATTAAGCTTTGATAAACTCACCCATCATCAGTGATAATTATCCTAACAAGCCAAATTTTACTCAAGCGATATTTAATTTTATTTTTATTCAAGTAATTAATAGTGAGGTGGAAAAAAAAAACATGTGGTTTAGAAAATTTTTTAAAAGTAAAATCTTAAAACCATGGATTTTTTTAAAGTAACTAATGTGCAATTTAACACTTTAGTAAATCACCTAAAGAGAAAACATCTTTGTGTAAATTAAACTTATGGAAAATCAGTTTGTTGTATGAAGTCCTACTGGTCAGGGAGAAAGATGTGGACAAATTTGAAGCAGATTTAGGTGATAAATTAAAAGCTTTTGCATCTCTTGGAGAATTGTCAAATCCATCATCCAGAAGGAGAAAAATATGTCACACTTTATCCTTAGCAGAATACATTCTAAGACTACAAAAAAAAAAAAAAAAGCACAAACAGGATACAACTGCAAATCTGCCACAACGTGACAGTTTATTTAAACTGAGGAAAACATTAATGAAGGAGGCCAAGAAACCAGTGGTAACTGGTTGAACTGAAGGAAAATCTGAAGATGTCTCATTTACAATTTGTCACCAGCCTGAACAAAGCAGACATGGATGTTTTTTCCTCAGATTAACACCAAAGGCCTGTGGACAACAAGCAAAATGCTTTGGGCAGCAGAGAACTTCACCCCACATATAAACTTGACCACAGCATCCCCTCATTAAAACATGGGGATGGTAGCATCATGATATGGGGATGATTGAACCCAGTCAAAGTGAATGAACCTAAACAGAAGGTGGTCCTGGATGGAAAGTTAACACTTCAGACGCAAAAGGATAAGCCACAATATCCGTTTTATCTCCTAAATTCCCAAAACTGGTAGAGACCTGAAATACTTTTTTTGTTTTCTACTTGAAGAAACTGGAAAGTGCAAAATCATTTCCTTTATCAGAGTTATACACATCTTTGTTTATGAGATAAAATCACAATAAAGTAAGTAACATTTGGTGGCTTTTAGAAAAAAGAATAAAAATCCTTCCATTGGTAATAAGAGTTTGCTCATATATATATATATGTATATATATATATATATATATATATATATATATATATATATATATATATATAGATATATATATATATAGATATATATAAAATCCATGCTTTTAAGATAAATCCTCTTGCCATATATCAAGTAAAGTGTGTTAGGTTCAAGTCATTGTCAGAATTCTTATCTATTAAATTCAATATAAATAAAAATAAATAATGTAAATACATCATATGTAATGACATTAAAAGGGATAGTAAATATAATACAGAAACATTATGTAGGTACATTCTTCCAACACAACAATTATTTATTATAATTTGCAACCTAACTAGCATATATATGAATTCTTGGAACAATATATTTTGTCCGCTTTGAACCCAGGATCTATTCATTAACCATTAATTCTCATTTATTTCATATTGTTAAAAGCAGTATCACAAATACAGTCCTTCTTATGCCTTTCATCTGATATCCCTGTGAAAAATAGGCAGAAATCTGCCTCGGTTAGAAGGAGTGAAGTTTATGTTGGATCCAAGCTCCCATGGTTGAGTCTCCAGCACTGTGCAGGTGTTTACCGCAGGCCTTTCCCACCAGGAATGCCACCTCTGCTATGTTGAGTAGAATGCAAACCCCAGACACAGCCAACATAAAGACGGTGAAGACGGTTTTTTCTGTGGGCCTCGACACAAAACAGTCCACTGTGTTGGGGCAGGGGTAGGAGTCACACTTCACTAGCCGGATCATCTTGTAACCAGGATATATCATGTAAAACAGAAACATAAAAATGACTTCAAACACAATGCGGAACAACAGGCTGATGACATATGTCCACCACAGAGCCCCTGTGATTTTCATCTTCTGGGTCTTTATCTGCTCCAGGTCCTTGGGATTGGTCCGGCCGGACATTTTGTAGAGCCTTTTGTCGACGTGTCGGCGGTGGGCCACATGCATGGCCACCAGCAGGGCCGGAGTGGAGACAAGGATGAGCTGGAGGGCCCAGAGGCGGATGTGGGAGATGGGGAAGAAGTGGTCATAGCAAACACTGTTGCAACCAGGCTGCTGGGTGTTGCAAGTGAAGCCAGACTTCTCGTCTCCCCAAACGGTCTCAGCTGCAACCACCAAGACCAGGATGCGGAAGATGAACAGGACAGAGAGCCAGATGCGGCCGATGCCAGTGGAGTGTCTGTTAACGCCGCTAATGACAGCATAAAAGGAGGCCCAGTTCATTTTTGGTTCCGGGTCTGCAGCGAGAAACATAGAAAAAGAAAATGTGAAAAAAAATGTTTTTATTACAACTATAGAATATATGTTGGCTATATATATATATATTTTTTTTTTTTTTTCTTTAGATATTAATATATATATATATATTTAGACATTTATATTTTATATATATATTTAGACATATACACAAGGGATTACGGAACATCCACACAACACACAAGCCATTGTTCTTAAAGTAGAAAAACTATATTTAATTATCATCTTAAAACAGTTAATCAGTCAGTTCAAAATCAAACAATCAACAAAAATATCACACAAAGGAACCAGAAAGAAACCCAAAAAGAGTCCTCTTCAACACCAAATGACCCACATGAAAAAGAACCCATCCACATGCACAGGTATGCAGGGCTGCAAGTAATGACTATTTTGCTAATCAATTCATCTGTCGATTCTGTTTACGATTAATCGATTAGTAAAAGGATAGGAAAAGGTTCCTTAAACACAATTTTAAGTGAAGCCAATATGGGGCCCTTTTTAGGATTTCTGGATAGAGCGTATTGATGGACAGAAATGGTTTTTCATCTTGAATTCAAAGTATTTGGATATTTTTCACAGTTTTGATATAACTGCTTTGAGTTAGTTACTCTTTCAGTTAAAGGCATGTTTTAGAGTCTCTATACTCAAGCTAACGATTAATTGATTACAAAATTAGTTGCCAATTATTTCATTATAATATTTTAATTTAAAGTTCGAGCCGCACTCCCACAGACCACACAATGGCAGACCACTGCTCTCCATGGGGATGGGTTAAATGCTGAGCTGAGCAGTGGGACAGTGGGATGACAATAAAAGTTGGGGGGAAAAAATCAAAGGAAGTGGGATACAAGAGAGCGTAAAGACATTTGACAAAGTTCAGTCCTGCTGACTCGAACCCGTGACAGCTGGTGTACGGGTAATGCGCTCTACCTGCACACCATACCCCAGTATATTTATACATTTTTATGAATAAATTCCTGACAAAAAAAACGGAATAAACAAAAAAGAAAATACATCTCAGACATATATTTTAATTAATCAAAGGGTTATTTACAATAAATCATAAAACTTTATGATATAAAACAGGCTTAAAAAAACAGGCATTTTCCCCCAATAAATCAGGAATAGTAATTTATTCAATACTGCATTAGCTGTGGAAAAAATGTATATGGTAGCTTTACACATGTTCTGAAAGTATAGATTTTTGTGATATATTTTCAGGCAGAGATTAATTAAAAACCTTCTGAGTTTGACAGGTTAAATCATCATCAGCACTTCAATTCCCCCTATGAGTTATCAAGCCCAGGGAGCTGATGAAGATGCATATTTATAAAATATTAATGTGCAGTTTCCACTGAGGGCTTTTTAGAGCAGGATAAAGACCAATTAAAACCTACATAAAGGTAACATAAGGTTCAACCCAAAGCATTGGATGTATTCCTTTAATTTAATATATTTTAATTTAATAGTAGAAAGGACCATAAGCATCCAAATAAACTTAGGGGACCAATTTGTTAAGTTTGGTTTAATAAAGCAAGAGTAAGTTCTCATTGCTGATCATTTAAAAACAAAACTTATAAATAATGCTTAAGATATTAGGCCACTGGATGCTGCATTTGTTCTGTTTTTGAAACAGATAAACCAGCTGACTAGTTATTTTTATCTACTATGATTTAATTATTTACTTATTTCATTACAATTTTAATTACAAAATATTTAAATCAAAGGTTGTGTTTTTTTTCCCCCCTGAATGAAAGACAATTTTGGCCCCCATGACAAAAAGCTCGAACCCAATGAATTGCACGCTAAATTTTCTAGGTATTTCTTGAGAGAAACATCTTTATGGAATAATAATTTGCCCCTGGCAAATCTAAAAATAAAAATCAGGGGAAAGAAATATACAATTTTAGATTTACCGGTATGTATGTTATTTGTAATGATTCCTTTCTGATTATCCAAACTATACACACTTAAAGAATGACAGAGGTAATAAAAAAACATTATTTCATTAAAGAAATTGTATAACTGAGTAAAAAGAAACATTTGCTTGGTTCACAAAAAAATGATATATTCTATAAGTGATCATTTAGAAAATCCTTTACAATCCAATTGTGCCCAGCATCATTTTTAGGGAACTTTAAAGTACCTCAGCGGGCCAAGGTGTGGAAATGAAACACGGCTCACGCAGAACAGAAATAAAATATGAAACATAAATGAATAAAAAAAAAAAGAACAAAATTATCTTTTGATTCTCTGTTTATAAACATCATTAAACAATGTGATAAAATTAAACTTTTGACACAAGCTAAAAATATTATTAGAAGATTGACATTTTAAGACAAATGTCAAAACTGAGTTTTTGTTGTTTTCTGTTTTTATATCTATTATTTGTAAAATAGACATATTCTGAAAATAAAAGTTTTAAAACTGATTTATGTTGTAGTTCTTTTGACATATTGAACTTATTCCAACAATGATAATGAGAAAATATATTATTTACATAAAAAACACTTAAGATTACATCATACACGGCCAGTTAGAAACGAGGACTTTTGTTTTAATCTAGATTTTATAGGCCGTGTTCAGATTGCACACCCTTGTTGATTGTTACTTAATTGATCACAAAGTTTTTAGAACAAAGTTCATTCGTCATAAAAACACTCCCTTCCTAGTTGTAGATGTGAAAATGTTACCAGGCTCTGCAGGAGGCGTCAGAGGCATAGGAGGCAGTGAGAAGAATAAAAGTTGACCTGCTAGTTTGGCATGGATGTGGATCCAGAGGAGGAAGGAAACCTCTCTGCCCCCCCCCCCCCCGCCAAGCTGCCGATCATTTATGAGCAACACAGACACATCATGTGACACGCGTTAACCAGACGTCATGATGCTTCCTAGGCACCTGTGCCCATCATAGAGGGGTGCCTGAGGTTCTGACAGCTAAAGCTTTAGGATCATTCATATTTTTATAAATCGTTAATTAGATATATTAGAAATTTTGCACAAAAAATGCTTATTTCGTTCAACTCTTGATTTATGTTTTCACATCTCATAAAAATATTTGAAAAATTGTTCTCATACAGTTTCTAGTGCTCTTTATGTGACAGAAAAAAAGCAATAAATCTGTTGAAAACTATAAAAATACCTCTGTAGGAATTTGAGAAGCATCTGTGAACCATATGAGAAAATAGATGGCTTACCGTCAGCTGCTTTTTCTAACCAAGTTCATCCAAAAACATTGGTCTAAGCAGATTTCCTCTTAATCTGGCACCGTGAACAAGAGTATCAGAGCACCATGACTTTGCATTGCTAATGATTTTGCTCACACTAGCCACTGCCCTGCACAGAGGAGGTCATATGCTTCTGCTCGAGGAATTTGCATACAATGCTCCCATTTAGGAGGACAAAACAAGCGGCCACAGAGTCCAGATCAAACATTTTCATTTCTGCACAAGAATCTGAGTGGGGGACCACTGTCTGTCCTCTTGTCCTCATTGTGCTGTGTTTGAGAGAGTGTGTGGAGGATGTTTTTGACGCAATGTGGAGTAAAACATGGAAGGTCAAAAGTAGAAATGAGTCACAGAACTAAAGATAAGAAAAGAATGGCTCATTATGGTTTTATCAGTCATTATATCCACATTGCTGCTGCCCACCAAACAATCAACCTCTGTTTCAACCATTAGATCAAGGTGGCCAGTATTCACTGAAGAATAGGATCATGTTTAGGTTGGCTATTTATTTCTGTAAAGGACTCTTACAGTTATTAGATAACCTGTTGTTATATTCACCTGCATTAAAGTATACATTTAAAAGTGATACCTACAATGTTTTTATCAAATTATTAATTTAGAACAAAAATTAATCCCCAGAAAAAAAAGAATTGTAGATGAATAGTTAACTGATCTATTTTATTGAATCTGAAATATACAGATATTTACTCCTGCATATCATGCCAATATATGAAAAGGTCCTGCATTAATAGAAATATAAGGTTAAAATCACTTGAGATGGTGCTTAAAATGAAAGTAATTTTGAATCAAAAGTATTTGTGCATGGTAACTGTAAAGTTGGAGTTGCAGAGAGAAATAAAATGGAAGTTTTGTCATTTTTTTTCCTTCTAATTTTCACAAGTACAAAATACCTCTTCAAACTGTTAAGTATGCACAAAGTTCTTTGAGCGCCTTTCTCAGTTTTGCTCCAGTTGATCTAAAACAAATAGTGCAAAAAAAATTCAAGCACCTATATTAACATTTTAATTATATTATTTTTACCTAACACAACTACATATCAGCAAATAAAACTGTACAAATCAGCTGCTGTGGATTACAGTTCAGGTTTAGAAGTTACAGCTTGATTTTCACTTGCTACAAATGTCTCACAGGAGTTGAGCAGAACTGATCTGTTACTTATGGGTTGTTCACATAGATGTACAGCAGAGGTCAGTCTGCACTGCAGCCCACTGGCATGTTTCCATAAAAGCACCCATCCCAGGTAGATCTTGGACAAATAGACATTTACATCTGGCTTTAACTCTGTGTGTAAAGGCACTGCAGGGACAGCAAGTGGATATGGGCATATCTGTCACATTTTGGACAGCTACTGAAAGCCATTCAGCTATCCTAGTCAAGCTCCATTATCGGTTACATTTCAAGACAAGAGCACAAGAAATATAAAAATGAAAACTACAACAAGGATATCAGATCTTAGACACATCTTGTTAAGGTTTTCAATATAACAACCTTTGAGAAATCGCTTCGTATCAAATGACTGATCCTAAACTTCCACCTACTAGTACAACCTGCTGCCTTTCCCTGTTTGTTTATTGCTTTTCCTCCTTTATTTATCTGCATCCTCACACCTGAGCATCATGAACTTAGTTAAATATAGCAGTCTTAATCATTTCTGGCCAGTATCAAAAGGAGGACATCAAACAGCCTAAGAAGATTTCAACATACGTTATGAAATGCATTCTGGTCCCATATGGAAATAATTGACACATTTCAGATACATTTCTAGGCTTACATGTTTGAAGCTACATATATCCCAACTGTACAACATAGAAAAACAAATGAAATTTAAAATTGAGTAATTTCTAAGCTAAAGCAGCAAAACCACATATACATTTTTTATTTTAATTCAATTTACAATTTTGATGGATTGGACACTTATCTGATATATCATAACAGCCCTGTAGTGTCATATCAGAATAAGGGTGAGCGCATCGTGATTTGGAAAAAAAAGGACACTTGGCTCTGCCTTCATATAAGAAAATGATACACAGTTTCTAAAAGATAATTTATAATTTCCAAGAATATATTTAAAGCCTCCTCAGTATCATTATGAAATTAAGTTAAAGAAAAAAATAAAATCTGTCTCTATAGATTCTATGAACTTCTCAGAAGTTGTTAAACATGCTTTATTGAACCTAAAATATTTTTAACAGGGGTTTAACAGATTTAACAGGTGTCAGAAAACAATCAATCTGCAGATTTAAGGATTTAACGTCTGTAATTTACACATGCAAAAAGGAAAACTTTTTTTTCACTCGTTGCTTTGGGGCGTCTTGATATAGCAGCGCTTCTATGCGCCGCATACACCGCATATATGGAGTTATTTTGGTGTTTTTATTAAATCCAAGAAAGTGACCTGAAAGGGGAAAATAATTGTATTTGAGAGAAACATTTTTTTTCACACTCATGGCAACAGCTGATGTTCTTTAAAGCTGAAGAAATGTTTTGAGGGAAAATGTTTTGTCATAATATAAGTAGAAGATAAATTGACAACAAGCACTCTCAAAAATATACTTTTACTCTCAAATATAGTTTTTTTGCAATCAGAGTGAAAAAATTTTCTCTTCAAAAAACTTTTTCTTCTCCCTCTCAAAACTGAAGACCTCACTCTGGAAGTGAAAAATGTGGGATGGGTGAGCCTGTGTTCCTATTGGCCAGTCTCACCAGAATTGACAGCTTATTAATAAGTAGCTAAATTAACTCTACAAAAAAGCCTCTTTGACGGAAATATCTGTCATGTTGCTTTGAAGACAGGCAACCCAGCATCACCAGACCAAAGGTGATGGATAGTGGAACGCAGTAGACTTCATGAAGATATATTGTGTGTTGTGCATAAATGGCATTTCTCATTCATAAAAGTCAAACACCTTTATTTTTTCTTCTCCCACACTGTTTACGTTTGATCACTGCTTTGCTTTAAGAAAAGGAAATGTCATGGAAGCTGCCAATTCGAAATTTCAGTTTGTATACACCGTCTGTATACAAAATGACAATAAAAGTTGTCTAAGTTCAATATTGTCGTTTTTTCAAGCACTGACAGGAGTTTGCATGATGTCTGTAAACTGATCTACAACCGTGTGATTAATGCAGATCTATCACTGACCCAATGTGTAAGTAAAGTTAACCACACATTTTCATGAAGCAAATATGTTTGTATTCAACATCCTACCAATACGTAATGTACCCCATGATATCTGAACCCACCATGTTGTAACAGGCATTGAACATGTCTCAGTTCTTGTCCCATGCATAGACTGTCACTAAGAGACATGATGTGGTTGCATTAGGCATGGACTAATTAGTGTAATGTTTCTAACTTGAACCCCAGTCAGCCTCGGAAGACGGCCGCTCACGCTGAGCCTGGTTCTGCTGCAGGCTTTTTTCTGTTAAAGGGACACTATGCAACATTTTTCAGTTAATTAATGTGTTCCATAACGTTTTGGATGATTAAATGAGTCATTTCAGGTTGAACAAAGGTATTCTCGGCCGCCCTGGTGGTCTGTGGGGGAAATACTGCACTTGCAACTGCAGGAGCACCGACCCGCACCCACAGGCTCAGAAGTCTCGTGAGAGCCGGTCTT